TATGCATTTTGAAGTCCTAAATCAGTCCTTTAAATTAATCGCCCTCATTATGCACTTCCTAGTTGCCACTTGCACATGCTGTTAGTCATCTGCTGGAGAGAACAGACTCCTGCTCTACGACTTCTAGCTTCGGATCTGGCATTTAGAGCCAGATAACCAAGTTCATTAGAATGTGATGCAGAAGAAGAATCAACCAGGATCCCTCTCTGTATACTTCAGCTGTACCTGCTGAAATGCAGTCACACCAGGCCCATCTCAAATGCAACCACCTTCTAGGGAGATGTCCCCAAACCGCAGACTAGATACACACTCTCCCTTCTCCCCAAAGCCTGAACACTTTAAATCCTTCTGATGCTTTTGACAAACTCCCTTGTAGAATGTGCGCCTTCTTACTGCGTCTTGCCTTCTATGTGATTTAAACCCCTGGTATTCACATCCCTCTGTAACCCCCTACCTTCAAGAAAAGACTGGACTTAGTGGCTGGCTTCAACAGAAGGTGCCAATATGATGGCATGTCACCTTCAGGAGGAGATTAGGTGACAAAAGGACCATCCTCTCTTGCTATCTTTCTTGGAGTTCTTTCTCTTGGAGAAGAAAGCTACCTTGTCATGAGTAGCCCTTAGAAGTGGCTCACATGGTAGGAAACAGATGCAACCAACAACTACATGGGTGAGCTCGGAAGTGAATTCTCCTCCAGTCGAGCCTTCATGTGAGACTGCAGCCCCAGCCTCCACTTGACAGCAGCCTTGTGAGAGACCCTAAGCTAGAAGCATCCAGCTGAGCCATGCCCGGATTCCTGACCCATGGCAATTATGAGACAATAAATGTCTGCTGTCTCAAAATGCTAGGTTTAGAATAATTTGCTACACAGTTATAGATAACTAATATAATCATGTAAGAGCTAAAACAGTATACTTACCATGGCAGTCTTTACCTCCTCAAGAAGTTTATAGTCTAACAGAGGAGGGGGAGGATATCAGACATTTAACAAGTTACTACACCAACATATGTAGACTAACAACTGTGATAACACTTGGGGAAGTGATGGCTGAGCTGAGCCTTGAAGGAAGAGCAAGGATGAGTGAAGCAAAGAGGAAGAAAGAGGGGGGCATATATTAAGGCCCTGAAGCAGGTGTGGGCATGAAAGCAAGCCAGGTGACTGGGGTACCAGAGGAGGGGTATGTGAGGTGGGCTGCACGATTAGGTAGGAATGCATCACACCGAGGGTTCTGCCAGCTAGGGTAATCAGGAGCCATCACCACATTTGGTTGTGGGGGGGGGGGTGTGCATATAAAGGGGTGAGTTGGCCAGAGCTACGTTTCTGGAAGATCATTCTCCCTGCCTCATTAGGGCAGGAAGCATGAAAGGGGGCAGACTTATGAGAAGTCTAAATTACAGTAGTCCAGACAAAACAGCCTAGTAGTGGACTGTAATGATTTTGGAAACAGAAATAAACATATTAAAGAGCTATTCAAGAATAAAGGTGAACTGGCCTTCGGACAGGTCTGGACATGGGGGCATGACAAGAAGGATATGAAAGGGGACTCCTGCATGTCCACTGCATTCCTGGGAATGGTGGTAGAATGTGGGCTGAGGCCGAGGGCACTAAAGGAAGGCCTGGGGTATTCTCCCAATGGGGAAGTGGATAAGCTTTCGATCAAGGAGATTTGTCCAATCTGTTTCACTGACTCTTTCCTTAAGGGGCATTTCTGTTCATCTCCCGGTTCTCTGCTATATCCCAGACAGGAGTAATATTACAGCAAACCCACTAGATTCAGAATCTACTTAATGCATCCAGTAAGGTATGAATTTCTACCCGTGAGGGCAATCCCACCAATGTCAACTATACAACTAGGAAAAGCAATTTAATTATTATAGCCGTGAAGGTTGTTGCCTTCCAGTTCCTCCAGTCACAGGCAAGGCAAGGTCTGCTGGTGAACATTAAATGAATGGCCTCTGCTTCACGTTAACAATGAAAGGAACATTTATTAGATACCTCCTGTCTACCAGGTACTTTGTGGGCCTCTTTGCATACATTATCTCTAATCTCATCAGTAAAATACTGTCAAATTTCTATAAATGAGGAAGCTCAGAGAAGCAAAGCAACTTCTCAAGGTAAAAGCATGGTAAGTTGAAGGCAGGATTGGAACCCAGGTCTGCTAGACTTAAACCTGTATTCTTCCTCTCGTGCCACCTCTTCGCTTCAGTAGGACCTTCATTAGGGGCTGGTTTACCCAGTCAGCCAGTCACCCACATGCTCAATCCACTTCAGTTGTTCAGACAGCTGAAATTACCTCTATAACTTTGACTGTTTTCTTCCTGTTCTGTGACCGACCAACACCGATTAGCAATAGAATCCCAATTAACTAAGCCCGCAGCTCAGGAGGTGAGAACCTGTGCACCTTCCATTAGCTGAGCACAACATGTTTTCCATGATGAGCGGGCAACAGCTACCACCCAGGGCTCCTCCAAAGAGAGAATGAACTGGAGACTCCACATGCATTCAATTTGTTGAAGGAAAATGCTGTGCATGCTTTTAGAAAGTAGTGAAGTAGAAAGAATCTAGGAAAAGCTGGCCTGGCACATTATTTTAAGCAAGATAAGCCTAAAATAATGAGGTTTTCAGGTGTATAAACATGTGAAGAGCTGCTTTCAGGTTAAAGTGCAGGCTCTGAACTTCTCTGAATCCTACTCAGAGGTCTACACGGCAGAGAACTCCAGGGTAGCTTCTGTTAGAGGTCGACGAGGGAGAGGCTCCCCAAAACACCATGCTCAGAGAAGGAGCAGCATACAACCACCACCCCACAACCCCAAGGCTTCAGCCACAGTGCTTCCCTCACCACGTGTCATTCATTCCAGACAGCTGTGCCCACACCCCATAAAAAATCCAGGGTCTATTTCAACCGTAATATTAAGACATGTAATCAGAAGCCCAAGAGCACAGCACTTGCTTCCCATTACCCCACTTCCTGTGCCTCCCTGATGGTACAGGATACACTGCGCAATACCAGGGCATTCTATCATCCCAGTGTGAGTGAGTGGTCATCCCTTGACTGCATTGCCCAAAGCATACCCTTCTCATTGACCTCCCATTGCTATTATGAAAAAGAGAGTCCAGGATATTGCAAGAACAGAAAAAGCGGTCTCAGAGTTCAATGTGGGCCTGGCACTGGGATGAACAGAAGAGATAAAAGGGAGGGCAAGAAGAGTAGAACCCCTGCCCTCCTGGCACCTACTTGGTTAAACTGTGAGACCCTATCCCAGATGGATTGTTTATTTTCTCATCTATTCAATGTGGATCATAACAATGCTACCTCAGAAGGGAGGTGATGAGACAACACAAGTTAAAGAGGAAATACAAGGAACCAAAAGCCCCTGCTCACTGGCTGTCACTGTTGTCGCCATTTACCACTCTACTGCCCTACCCCAGGCATCTGGTAGGAGAAGGCTGCTTTGAGCGGCATCTTCCCACCTTTGTGCCATCAAGTATCTCTTCCCTGCTCCCCCCATGTACCCTGTATTTTGAAGGATGTTGTCAACCTCACTGCATTAAGTATTCATTGCTTCCCTATTTTATTCACCTAAGACACAGAAGCATGATTAATATTTAAAAAGTAATGTAGAAAAGACAGTAAAATAGACTTCATCAAAATTTAAAAATCTGTCATAGGGCACTATCAAAAAAGTAAAAAATCAAACTCTGAAAATGGGAGAATGTATTTTCAAGTCATATATCTGAAAAGGGCTCACTATCTAGAGTATATATCGAATGCTTAAAACTCAACAATAGAACGAAAATTTTTAAAATAGGCAAAGGATTTGAATAGGAAGAAGAGAGAAAAATGACCAACACACCCATGAAAAGATGCTCAACATGATTCGTCACTAGGGAAATGCAAACCAGAGCCACGATGAGATACCACCTCACATGCACTAGTATTGCTACAATAAAAAAGACAGACAGACAACCCTCAGACTGTAAAATGGGGGAGCCACAGTGGAAAACAGTTTTGCAGTTCCTCAAAGAGTAAAATCTGAAACAGATTCAAGAAAATTATATTGCAAATTAGAAATATATCCAAGAAACCTGAAAATATATGTTCATATGAAAACCAGTATATAACATATATAGAAATATTATCCATGAAAGTCAAAAGCAGAAACAACCCAAGTGTCCGGCAAACAGAAAAGCTGATAGACAAAATACAGTCTATTCATACAAAGGAATATTATTTAGCCATAAACAGGGACACGTATGGATACATGCTACGACCTGGATGAAACTTGAAAATACGCTAAGTGAAAGAAGCCAGACACAAAAGGCTACGTACTGCGTGTTCCCATTTACACACACTGTCCAGAATAGGCAAATCTATAGAGACAGAAAGAAGATGAATGGTTTCCACGGGTGTGGGGAAAGGAGAATGGAAGTTACTATTTCATGTGGGCGCGGTTTCTCCTTGAGGTGGTGAAGATGTTCTGGAATTTGACAGGGATGATGCTTTGTGAATACACGAAAAATCACTGAATTGTACATTTTAAAAGTGGAAAATTTATGCTATGTGAAGTCAATCTGTCTCCGTTGTATATAATACGTAGTGACATATATTATATATTATAGACTGAGTGAGAGGTAGTAACTGAGTGCATTATATCTGTAGCCAATCAGTATGACATGCTGATGACAACAACGTTTAGCTAGAACAACCCAAGATGTGACGTTTGGCTAAGTCTGTGTCCATGACGAGTTGAGTGAATCCCTCCGCCCTATAAGTTGAGTGAATCCCTGTAAGATGAGATGGTGTCATCACATGGTCATAAAGATCAAATGGAATAATGTATGTAAAATGATAAGCAAGTTGCATCCTGCAGTCAGGTTTTTACGCGTCCCGGTTACCATCCTCGGCTCCCTGATGGAAGGAGGGAGAAAGCCATTGTCCCATTCAGAGGGAGAAGGAGCCGCTGCCCAGCCCGCCCTTCCTCTGGCCACCACCGCTTACCTCAGGTGTCAGGGCGTTGTTATCCGAGGTCTGACTGGACAGCAGGATGTGTGTGAACCCCTCTTCCTTCCGCACGACGATGTCTCGAAACCGACAGTTGCTTTCATTCTGGCGGACGCTGTACCTGAGCCTCTTGTCAAAGACGTAGTCCTTCTCTGCTTCCAGCTTCCTCTTCACCGAACTGTGCAGGTTCAATCCCCCATTGGTCAGAGCAGAGCCTTCCAAAACCAGATAAACAATGTAAGAAACTGACACGGGCCACAGTCCTAGAAGGATGTGATCAGAGGACATTGGGATTTTCAACGGAAGGGCTTGTATGTGGCTGGGACACACCACCTCCTCCCCTGTGCCACCCTCCATTCTAGAAAGAGGGAAGATACAGAGACAGGCGGAATTCCTACATTTCCAAATTCAGAAGAGGGCCTGTAGGGCTCTTTGTGAAGGTGCAGTCCTCTGCTCTTTTCTCCCACACATCAGATTCTGTTCAGATTCCTTGGCCACAGGGAATGCACTGACCACCCTGAGAGGCGGCCCACTCCACTGGTGGATGTCTATGAATGATGGGGAATCATCAATAAGAGCAAGACCAGCAGCTAACCCTTTATCCAACCCATACTACGTGGTAAGCACATCACAGGCATGATTTTATTTAACATGAGAAACAGAGATGGGGCTCTGGGAGCCCCCAGTGCTTCGCTGGGGGCTGCCTTGAGATGAGTGAGGTGAGTACCAAGCAGGCAATGTCCTTAGGTCTCTCTCTTCCTCTCCCAAATCAATTACAATGACTTTGCATTTTTCTGTTTCATATATTAGCATTCACAAATGGCCTGAAAGCGCCCCGATGAAAAGGTCTGAAAACTAGTAACAGAATGATCCAGATGTATAACGGTTCCCAGTCTCCAGCCTCACACAGGATACATCAGCAACTCCGAGATGTTCTAAAGAAAGCAAGGCCAAGCGAACACCCCAAACCTTCATCGGAAGCAGGTCCAGGAATAGGCTCAAAGGTGTATTTTGGAAACACTTTCCAACCACGTCCATCCAAAAAAGAAAAAAAAAAGGGCAAGAGAGAACGAGAGAAGGAAGACACAAATTACCAGTATCAGAAATGAAAGAGGGGGTGTCACTACTGATCATATAGACATTAAAAGGATAGTAAAGAAATAATGAGAAAAATGTCTCTGCCCATTATTTCATAACTTAGATGAAATTTCTTGGAAGAAATTCTAAGCAATTTTCCTTGCATCCACTCAAATGTTCTGGAATCTTCTGACTGCTCTAAATCAGTGCTGAAGACAGGAAAAGTAACCCCAAGAATGTAGGGCAAAGGAAGCCAAGTGCCCAAGACAGACTGGGAATAGTTCCTGGATCAGACAGCCCAGGCAGGATCTTCCCTTAACAACGAGACATGCCAGGAAAGAACACCACCAGGTCGCTTAGAAGGCCCCTCTGTAGGTGTGAGGGTGTGAGGCAGGGGGAGGGACACCAGAAGGACTGCAGGAGGTTCTCTGGCAATACGGCACAACATACACTCACTAGGACACTATGTTTTCATCACAACCTATTATTGTTGGCTGAGGGTTGTTTAAAAACCTGAGCAGACTTTAACAACTTGTAGACTTCCCTTAAAGTCCAGATTCCCAGCTTCTCTTTACAAAAAATAATAGAACTGCGTATTAGCAGCTCTGGGACCATATTCCAATACGGTGACAACTGGCTGGATTTCAACAGCCACTACCTCTCCTGGGTTTGCCACAATCCCCACTACTCCCTGTTGTGTCCTCAGAGCTGAGGGTTGACTGCTGTTTATCATCACCTGTGTGCTGTCAGTTTTCTTATGGCATAGAAATATCTCTCTGTACTCAAAAGAAAAGCAGCAAAACAAAGTAAAACAGAACATAGAAAAGCCACATATTTCAAGAAAATTAGGGAAAGGCCCATCACCCATCCATGTTCCTTATTTGCATGAACCACCTCATAGTGAGGATCTCAGCATCTACCATCTGAAGAGTCTGGGTTCAAATCCCAGCCTGGCAGTTTCTCAGCAGTGAGGCCTGGGGCATGTATTTAACCTCTCCAAGCCTCAGATTCTCATTATTCAAAAGAGAAAACAATACCTATACTTCATAGGGCTAGGGAATGGATTTAAGAAGATATCGGGCCAGGCGCGGTGGCTCACACCTGTAATCTTAGCACTTTCAGAGGCCGAGGTGGTGGATCACGAAGTCAAGAGACCCAGACCATCCTGGCCAACATGGTGAAACACTGTCTCTACTAAAAATACAAAAATTAGCTGGGCATGGTGGCGTGTCCCTGTAGTCCCAGCTATTCGGGAGGCTGAGGCGGGAGAATTGTTTGAACCCAGTAGGCAGAGGTTGCAGTGAGCCGAGATTGTGCCACTGCACTCCAGCCTGGCACCTGGCGACAGAGTAAGACTCTGTCTCAAAAAAGAGAAGAAGAAGAAGAAGGAAGAAGGAAGAAGGAGAAAGAAGAAAGAAGAAAGAAGAAGAAGATATCACATGGAAAGGGCTAGACACAAGGCCTGGACCTATTACATGCTTAATAAATGCTGGGGATTGTTGATACTGATGTTGTCATGAATAGCAGTAGTGGCAGCGGGTAGTTGCTGGTGGGAATGGGTGGCAGTTTGCCCTCTAGAGTGTTCCTTCTAGCATCAGGATTGGGCTTTGTCCCCCTCCCAACTTCTGAGGCCAGAGAAGCAAATGCCAGACAAAAGAGTCACAGCCACAACCAAAAGCTGCCCTTACAGACACTCTAGAGCCACTGAGTAGATGCCCCAGTTTCTTTGCCTTGCAGCCACGTACACCTGTTTCCTGTACACACATATTATGGCTTCCTCTGGCCCTTCTGATTGGAACCCTTTCTACCTCTGCCCACCTGGAAGCCCCTACTCACATATGAAGACTAATTAGACATCAGTATCACAAAGCCTTTCCTGAATTCTTAGGCAGGATTCTTGAATCCATTCTATATTTGCTCATTTTCTCCACTATACCATGAGCTCTTCAAAACCAGGGCACAGTGAACTCTGTGACTTCAGCCTGCAAAAGTGGAAATCCCTGATAAATCCATTAGATCTCATGAGACTTACTACCATGAGAACAGTATGGGGGAAACTGCTCCCATGATCAAATTATCTCCTACTGGGTCCCTCCCACAATACATGGGAATTACAAGTACAATTCAAGATGAGATTTGAGTGGGGACACAGAGCCGAACCATATAATTCTACCCCTGGCACCTCCAAATCTCATGACCTTATATTTCAAAACCAGTCGTACCTTCCAAACAGTCCCCCAAAGTCTTAACTCATTTCATCATTAACCCAAAAGTTCATAGTCCAAAGTGTCACCTGAGACAAGGCCAGTCCCTTCCATCTATGAGCCTGTAAATTCAAAAAGCAAGCTAGTTACTTCCTATATACAATGGGGATACAGGTATTGGATAAATACAGCCATTCCAAATGGGAGATATTGGCCAAAACAAAAGGGTTATAGGACCAATCCATGCAAGTCCAAAACGCAGTGGGGCAGTCAAATTTTAAAGCTCCAGATGATCTCCTTTGACATCAGGTCTCACATCGATATCCCGCTGATGGAAGAGGTTGGTTCCTATGGTCTTGGGCAGCTTTGCCCCTATGGCTTTGCTGGGTTCAGCCTCGCTTCTGGCTGCTTTCACAGGCTGGCACTGAGTGTCTGTGACTTTTCCAGGTGCACAGTGCATGCTGTCAGTGGATCTACCATTCTGGGGTCTGGAGGATGGTGGCCCTTTACTCACAGCTCTACTAGGTGATGCCCCAGTAGGGGCTCTGTGTGGGTCTCCATATCCACGTTTCCCTTCTGCACTGCCCTAGCAGAGGTTCTCCATGAGCACCCTGTGCCTGCAGCAAACTTCTGCATGGGCACCCAGGCATTTCCATACATCTTCTGAAATCTAGGTAGAGGTTCTCGAACTCTAATTCTTGACTTCTGTGCACTCACAGGCTCAACACCACATGGAAGCTGCCAAGGCTTAAGGCTTGCAACCTCTGAAGCCATGGCCCAGCTGTATGCTTGCCCCTTTCAGCCATGGCAGGAGCAGCTGGGGCACAGGGCACCAATCCCTAGGCTGTACACAGCAAGGAGACCCTGGGCTCAGCCCACAAGATCATATTCTCCTAGGCCTCTGGGCCTATGATGGAAGGGGCTGCTGTGAAGCCCTCTGATGTACCCTGCAGACATTTTCCCCACTGTCTTGGGGATTAACATTTGGCTCCTTGTTACTTATACAAATTTCTGCAGCTGGCTTCAATCTCTCCTCAAAAAAATGGGTTTTCTTGTCTATGATACTGTCAGGCTGCAAATTTTCCAAATGTTTATGCTGTTTCCCTTTTAAAACTGAATTCTTTAACAGCACCCAAGTCACCTCTTGAATGCTTTGCTTCTTAGAACTTTCTTTCACCAGATACCCTAAATCATCCTCTAAAGTTCAAAGTTCCACAAATCTCTAAGGCAGGGGCAAAATGCCATCAGTCCCTTTGCTAAAGGGATAACAAGTGTCACCTTTGCTTCAGTTCCCAACAAGTTCCTCATCTCCATCTGAGACCACCCCAGCCTGGACTTTATTACCCATGTCACTATCAGGCTTTTGGTCAAAGACATTCAACAAGTCTCTATGAAGTTCCGAAGTTTCCCACATTTTCTTGTCTTCTTCTGAGCCGGCCAAACTGTTCCAACCTCCACCTCTTGCCCAGTTCCAAAGTCACTTCCACATTTTCAGGTATCTTTTCAGCAACGCCCCACTCTACTTGTACCAATTCCACACTGCTGATAAAGACACTGGGTAGACCGGGGAAAAAAAGAGGTTTAATTGGACTTAAGAGTTCCACATGGCTGGGGAGGCCTCAGAATCATGGCAGGAGGTGAAAGGTACTTCTTACATGGTGGTGGCAAGAGAAAATGAGAAAAATGCAAAAGCAGAAACCCCTGATATAACCATCAGGTCTCATGAGACTTATTCACTATGATGAGAACAGTATGGGGGAAACCGTTCCCATAATCAAATTATCCCTCACCAGGTCCCTCCCACAACACATGGGAATTATGAAAGTACAATTCAAAATGTGGTTTTGGTGGAGACACAGAGCTAAATCATACCATTCATAGTAATCTCGAGCCGAAACATATATAATAAATACACAAACAATAACAACAAACCA